GAGAGGTCTAGCCTCCCACTGCATGGCCCGGAGGGCCTTCAGGACATGTCCCCGATCAGATCCAAATGGGAATGGACCGGCCAAGAATTGCTGCTTTGGGCCAGCTGCTAGGTACACTGCATCTGGGCGCAGTGTCTTGCTCAGATTGGCAGCTTCAGCTGCGCTTGTTCGGATTCCCATTCTCTCACCTACTCGGGCCAGACCAATGGCAGCTGGGTTCGTACGACAAACATGGTTCAAGGCCTCACGGCCCATGCGGGCCAACCACACAATGGCATAGGTGTCATCAATGGAACGTCCATCAATGGTGCGAGGCTCTGTGTAAATGCCAGCAACGCCGCTCATTTTCAAAAGTGGCTGGACAAAGCACTTGGGTGTACGGATGAACACACCATACATGGACGCGCTTGAGGGGTTGTCAGGTCGGTACCCCGGCTTCAAGTACTGGCGTCTCCACACATCCAACAAGGCATCACAAGTGTCCAGGCCTTCATGATTGTGCCAGTGGGGGCACGTACATTTGTCTTCCTTGCACAGGCGCAGCAGTGGCATATGGTGGACAATATACCGCATGGGGGCTTGGGTGAAGGACTCCCATGAGCCTTCAATTTCATCCCGAAAGACAATCAGCTTGAGGGCACCAGCTTCAACCGCATCAACCTTGAGAGTTTGAGGACTCATGGCTTTTTCAACAAATCCCTGACCAATCTGAACCATCATCACATCAACCAGCAAGGGCTCCTGATTGACGACACATCGGCAAGGGACTGTGATCATACAGCTGGGCAATGCAGTGACCGTGTCAGACCCACTGCACTGTGGAATCAACAGGGCAAGCGGCACCTGGCTAACCGGCTGGCCATGTTTCAGGTATGGCTCCGCCTCTTTCCTGGTTGCAAAACAAAAACCCTCAGCCAGAGGTCCCACATCACTAAGCTGGATCTGTGTGAGCGGATGGTTGGCTGCTTGGAAGACCCCTGGTTGAACAGCAAATTTGGTAGGGTCCAACTCAATGGGCACCTCTTCAGGTGGGACCCGTTTACTTTTCTTGCCTCCTTTGGGGCGTCCAATGGCAGTCTTGCCGGCAACACCTGCAATTTTGGCTTTCAACTCACTGGGCAACAGGAACTGGTACTTGACTTGGTTCCCCAAAGTTTTCAATTGCTTCCAAGGAATGCGTGACTGCAATGCTTCGGCAATTGGTGCAGCACCGATAGCCTGAAGAGCAGACTTGGCTCGATTGGCTGATTGCTCAACGGGAACCCCTTGTTGAATGAGAAAGGCAGCAAGCTCTTGTTCAACCTGAGAAATTGGGCCATTACCCCATAACCATGGCTTGGAGCAGACCCCACCAATCAAACCCTGAAGACAGAACTGTTCCCTCAGCTTGTTATGGAATTCAACCACCTCGTATGGGGTGTTGGGGAGCATTCGATTCAATGCCGTGTGGGCCAGGAATGCAACGGCCATAGCACCACACCCCTCGTCCATGTCAAACATACGCACAAGGCGGATGTGCTGGTGATCACGCAGGCCAAAGTGACCTGCCAGGTGGGCAAAGAAGGCATCCAGGCATCCATGGTCTGCTTGTTGGGAATCCCACGTGTGAGCAAACAGGGTCCCATTCATAGGCTTCAAAAAGACTGGGATCCAATGCTGATTGGCATACACTACGGTTGCAATGCTACACGGTTTTGGGCAATGTTGCTGAAGCCAATCATGGAAATTGTCGAACCCAACATGGACCCAACCAAAGACCAACAGGGGGTCAATCACGGTGAGCTCAAGGCATGGTGCACAGAGCCGCCGGATGTTGGCCAAGTGCCACGCAATTTCATCATCTGCCCACAGGGCGCCTTGCTTGTCCAAAATGAGCTTGCGGTCCTCAACAGTAAGGACCTGTTGACGCATGGAATTGACCACTGCCTGTGTGGTGGGAAAGGAGCACTGCATGCGACCTAATCCTACAGCATCAAGGTACACTAAGGGGCTACGGGCAACGGATGCACATGGCGGTACACCACCGGCTGGTGGGGCATCATGCGTGGTCATGGCACTACAAATGACGGGACCTATTGGGACACTACCTCCATGCAAAACAGGCATTGGCTTGGAGGATGGTCCAGATTCCCCTAGATGATCCAATGCGTGAGGGCTGCATGGCAAGGACTGCCCTGGCTGATTCGGATGCAAGACACGGACACTGTCAGCAAGTGCATTTGAGCTCTTTGTCTCTTCTTGAGGTGAAACAACATGTGGACTGTCACTGGGTGCAATCTCATCAGGTTCAGCAGGCGGAATCACAGCCAGTCGGTCACCTGCACTGGACGCAGGGGCATCATGGGTGTCTCTACTGCCAGGCAATTTGAAGGGGAGTGGCCTGGATTCCCCGGGGCTGGTCATTGCAAGTTCTGGCAAAGGCATTGGTGCAAATGGCACTCCATCTGAGCCACTGGAGTCTGCCGCAGTTTCAGCAACGGGCAATTTGCAGGGGAGTGGCCCGTATTCCCCAAGTGTGGCGCCATCATGCAAACCTGGCATATCATGGCATGGAACGGGCAATTTGAAGGGGAGTGGCCCGTATTCCCCAACCTCAGGTCCAGCAGACCCCACATCACCATGAAGGCTCCTGGGAAAGGCATCACCAGCACAAAAGACCCTTGCAGCATCATTCACGGGCAATTTGAAGGGGAGTAGCCCGGATTCCCCTGGCTGTTCAGTGTGACAAATCTGCATGGGCAAATGGCCACATTCACCAGGAAAGCCTGGTACCCTCGTGCGAGAACCGAAGTACTCTGGGTCACCTGCATGGGCATGAGGGATGACGCACATCTGAGCCAACTGGCCTGGGCAAATGATGTCACGCAATTGCCACAGGGTACCATCCATCTTAAATGCAGAGACCTGGGTCCATTCAAAACCATACAATCTACTTTCAGCCTCCAGCAACTGTTGCACTGTGGTGCCAGTCTCAATGCGGACAAAAGACACAGAGTGATCAGGCGGGTACAAAATGGCAGCGCAACCCTCTGGGACATGCACGACATGAAACTTTGGGGTTTCAGCAAAAACGGCCGGAACTTCAGGATCAGGCTCACTGTCGGTCATGGCGCTGCCTTCATCCATTGCTGTGGCTCCATGTTGAGGTCGTGCAATGTCCTCTGGTAGAGGCTGTTCCCTAAGCTGGCTCATCACTGCCGCAAGACATCGCTCAGTCATGAAAAAATCCCATTCATCCATGTGCAAAAGGTCATGCAGTTTGGGCAAAACAACCGATTCCCAAAGTTTGGCCTCAGCATTCAGGGTAGTGCGGGCAACATCATCAACCGGCCACAAAATCCTGCATCGAGCAAGGAGCCAACTCCTATATGCATTCAAATGCTCAGTAGGATGGAATGGTTTGGATCCATCTTTGAGCCAGGCAAAGTGACTGATCACGTGTGCTCCAACCCATGTGGATTGAATTGGTGAGGCAAGCTGTCCAATTCCTGCCAACGTCAAAAGGACATTCTCTCCATAGTCTGCAGCAGGGTCCAGACCAACAAGAGCAGCACATTCAGAAGGGTGAATATGTCTTGGGGTACTCTGGCCATCACGATCAGCAGCAGATCGGAGCACAACCCCAAACAAACCCCGATGCAAAAGGCGCTCAGCTGACAGGGGGCCAGTACGGCATTTACAGGGACATGCCCGCAATTGGGACCCCCAAGCGTGCAATGGACAAGGAAGGATGCCAGACCTATTCATCAGGTAAGGACACCCTTCTTCATGATCCACCTGGAACGCAACTCTTTCAGCTTGGGTCAAAGCAAGGTCATGCTCATGATTGAAAGGCCATCGGATGATATAAGGCATCACATGTTGGATCTGGCTGCATTCTGAGTACGCCGGCATTTGTCGAAACTGGATGGGACCCAAGGCTGGTGCTGACAGGATAGCCCACCATCGGTTGCGGGAGCATGGCCAACAATCTTGAAGCCTCAGGACTTCCTCAGTGCAGTGAAAACCCGTTTTTCGACAAGAACGATCTATATGCATGCGAACATAAGTGTCCTGCTGGGCAGGACTGACACATTCCAAAATCACAACAACGGCTCTCAGAAAGTGAGCACATGCCAGGGTGGCTGGCAAGCTGCGGGCACGGGGGTCACTTCCGCTTCCTTTGTCCCCAAGGGACGAATATGGCTGACATGACACACCAGCGCAAATGGTCGCTGACTTCGGGTAGACATCCCACAGTTTCTTGACTGTGGACAAATCAGCAATGTCGCCACAGATCAAAGGCACGTCCAGCTGGGACCTGTAGAGGTCAAGCATGAGCCCGTTCTGGTCACAGGCTGCAACTGGTCTAAAACCAACGCCCAACAGGCCTTGGCCCATTCCACCGAGCCCAGCGCAAAGTTCGATGGTGTCCCTGATGGATTCCCAACTACAGGTATCATGGTACAGCAGGTGGCTCTCACAGTCAGCAACCAAAACCGGTCTTGGAGATGGATTCGAAACCCGGACATTCAACAAGCTGTAAGTAAGCTTTCCCATTGGAATTCCACCAGCAAAACTGAACATGTGCTTGGTCACAACAGAAGACATCAAATGGTTACATCCACCCTCATCAAACGCAACCATACTAGCCACCAGACTGACCCGATGACCAACTTCCAGTGCAGCAAAGTTCGGGGCTAAATCGACCATGGCAAGACCCAACCCTCGAGGATTTGGAATGGGCCGACGGGCCCGCTGGAAGGCACCTCGAGCCCCAGTCTGATATTTACCACCATTTAGCACCTATTCCCAGGAACTGGGGTGAAACTAACCCACGGATCCTAGGGAAAAAAGCACCAAGTAGTTGGGCTACTTGGGGGGTGTATCACAATTATGAAGTGGTTGATAATCCATGTATAACTGTGGTATAGTCCATGCATATATTAATATATACTGTGCATATATATATATACACACATATTCCAGATCTCAAAGATAGCAGATTCAAAAGCTGTCAGGCACCGAGCTCAGGCCATTGCCGACACTTGGCAAAGCCTTTCAGTTTGAACGAAACCTGGGAAAAAACCTTGGCAAACCATAGGAAACCATAGGAAATCTGCGAAAACAGACCAACAAAAACTCTTTAACCAAGCCTTTTAATATCTTTTCTTGTTGGGGAAAAGTTGTATTTGTTTCAACTGAGAATGTGGATTTTGGTACGGTTTAAACGCCAGGCATGGGCATATTGAGCAACTGAACGACAAGAAGATATCAAGCAACAAACATGGGGAGTCAACCACGAGCCCATAGAGTGCAACCGGAGAGCAGAGAACTGCGGTTTTAGTCGATTAATAGTCATACACTTTGGTAATCAAGCATGGCAGTGGGAAAGCCCTTGTAGTTGGAGGTTTCAATGGGAAAATCATCTATAAATGGGGAAATGTTCTATTAGTGACTATGCTTGATTACCGAAGGGTAATTGCGTTTAATGGTTGGTGGTATCAGTTGTTTTTGAATTGAAATCGGTGATCCCTCTTCCATTTTTGGGAAGAGACATCCAAAACACGGACGCATAGTATAGTCTTGGGATGACTTGAAACCTCCAACATCATCCTTATATGTTTTTCTTGGGTAAATGTTTGGTTTTTTGGAGGCAAACATGGGCCATACTAGTGACAAAGCTCCAAAATGTCCCTGTAGACCACATGTAATTGATTAGGTATTGACAGTTTGTTGGTTGAAGAAAACAAATTTGATTGCTCAGACATCCCCACTATTGCTTGTTTCTAGATGGTTATAGTAAATCACCATCTTCGCAGGATTCGGGATTCTAAAAACCAAAAGGCTTCCCAGTCCAGGAAGAAAGCCTGGAATCCGCACCTCTCGTGGAGACATCAAAGGAATGAGACCTGGTGAAGCAGAGACCACCCTGGGGTGTAACTCTTTGCTTATCTAACAGTTCGCTATGGAAGCCATGGCCCATAGGAATAGATTACAAAAAATGATGAATTAATTACCTATTAAAAATCGTGATTTTCCATAGCTACGTTGAATAACTAGAGGGTAACTGTTAGAATCTGGGACTCAGAGACCTATTCGATCATTAAAAACCGGAACAACCAAAATCGGCATTTAAGCAGCAACATTAGGGATATAATTGGGATCTAATGAAATACAATATTCAGTATAATATGAAATCCATCAATCACAACCATCTCAGGTCACGCCACACTTGGAATGGGATTTGGAGCACGTGGTATCTATCAATGATCCAACTTTTTGTGTTGAGATATGCAAAACCCATGGTTTCCCAATGTTTCCCAACCAAGCTGATGTACCCTCCGGTGTTATCATACATGGCTAGCTCGAAAAGCCACCATTTACTTCGAACATGTCCCTGCTATAAACCCTCCAGCGCGGGGATTTCGCAGCTAGCCATGTTTTTTTAACACCGGACACCGAATGGTATATCTTGCCAGATGCGACAACCAATTGACCAATGGAGGATCCAAGGAAGAGAAAGAACCAAGCTTCAAATCAAAGAGTTCCAAGGAAGGGAGTTGAATTTCATGAATCATCATGTTGTTTGTTTATGTGTATATAATTGTATATCTAGATATAGATATAGATCAGGCATGTGAACAAATTTGAGATGTGGTTGGAAACATGATAGTTTTTGCCAACTCTATGGGAAAATGATGAAAACCGGAGACTTGATTTGGCCCAGTGCTACTATAATTTAGCCCCAACAAAGATGGCAATCTTGATGGGGAAAATTGTGATAAACCATTGGATTTTTTTCTATTCCAATGCTTAGATATGCTTAGCATTTTTCAATGCTTACATAGTGTTTGTTCCTCCATGTCTCTCCCTGCAAATGCTGCTGGTGTTGTGTTCAATAACCAGAAAATCAGATAGAGCGTAGGTGTATTGTCAGCTGTGAAATGATCCGTACCTGTTTGCATATTATGGATAGAAGCGATATGAAGCGGTTGTCAATAGACATTGCAAACTATTCAACTGTCTGTTACTTTGTGATCTCAAGTCTCAAGACAACTCCAAGTCAAGAGATGATGTTCGACTGCCCGTACAAAGCCAATAATGAACCATCCTTAATGTACCAGAAATGGGTTGTATAACCCATTTGAAAGGTATATATATTGATTGGGTTAAAATTCTGATCTAGGGCTTGGTCGAGAAGCTTGTCTGATCCCAGGAAGCATTCGCGACAATTCGTGAGCCTTTGCTGAAGTAAGACATGGGCCAACCCCATCATGATATTCATCACTGTGCTCTTGCCATGTTCCCCATGAACTAGGGCAGAAAAAGTGGTATTCCCATGGTATTCCCATGTATCACCCATTTTGAGACAACTATTGACACTTACGTTTGCATATTTTAACCATATAAATGGTGCAATATTTGCAGCCCAGCTTCGAGCTACCCGGCTTGGTAAATCAGCAAATACGTGTGACAAATCCACCAGAAAATAAATGTCTGATTTTCCCAGGGAAACACAAAGGGTTTCCCACATAGAAATGTTTGTTTTCCCAAGATGAGTTGGTTCACTTCTTTTGCAGGCCGTGTTTCTGAGAAAATCACGATGGGGACAAAATTTAGGTGGCCATGTAAATCATGTAATGATTGATGTCTGCATTCGATCCTTAACACGAAGCTTGAAGCTTGAGGTCACTTCCGGGGTATGATGAGGGAATCCCATATCATTCAACACCATCCCATGGGATTTCGATCCAAGTCGATTCGCGGATCTTGCACACCAGTCATCACCAGTGCTTTTTCACGCTTCATTGTCTGCCAACTGCTGGTTGAGGATTCAACCATATCTTTTGTAGTTGTTGTTACCAGTTTTTAACAGTTGTTACCATCAAACACGGGGATATAATCCAGAAATCATGCCTGGTTGATGATTTGTTCGTGGACTGCACTTGGTTGCTACTTTGGCCAATCCTAAGGTCTCAAGTTTACCCGGCTCAACAGTTTGCCATAGGTCCAAAGTCGGTTTCCCATCAATCTCCCAGTTTCTTGATGATGTGTCCATCTCTCAAAACTTCCCTTCGATCCCACCATTGACAGGGTAGAACCCCCATATCCCGGGCATGGTTGGGACTTTATGTCCTTTACACCCAAGTTCATAGTGTCATAGTGTGGCTTTATGTCATATATCCCAAATATCCCATACATCCCATTTTATGATATTTTATGTTTGTGTGTTCTTTGTTGCAAGCAACTGTTCATAGTTCATAGCCCAATGGAAATCCCCGTCGCTAAAAAAACCCTGTAAACTGCATATTACAATTACACACATGCAAATTATATGTATTAATTATATATATACACACCATTCAAGCCATAAAACCCCTCGTTGCAGTTGGTAAAATCCACCTTCTTTTGTGCTTGAATCCCCATCTGAACAGTAAACCATCCAATGTTTGTTGGGCTTAAAACCAAGCAGACCAAACGATTCTCCATATCATTGTGGTTGTTCCTAATTTGATTGGGTACATCAATGAAAATACCCCCAAAGTTGGTTGGTTAAATGGTGTTGAATCAGCCCAAAATTAGATCGCAGAAATCGAAGTAAGTTGTCAGTTGGAAGTTTGCGACCAAAACGGTACATTTCTAGAGGGTAAACCTCCATTTTCCTATGGTGTTCCTATGGTTTTCCCATTAAACCTCCATTTTCCTATGGTTTTGGTTATGTTATTCCCCCAAGGTCTTTTTTAAATATCAAAGGATGCTTCGCTACGTCCAGGTGCTGCTGTCTCACTCGGCAGATCTTTGCGCCTCCATTGCCGCCCTGGCCGCTCCAGGCGCCCGGGCGGCAGTGGACCTGGCGCCGTGTAGCGGCTTTGCTGCGCCCTGGCGTTGACCGGTTCCAGGACTTGGACGATTTGGGGTGCCTCCAAGGACTTCGGAAACCGCGAATTATGGGTTTGAAAGCTGATGAAAGTCTGATTTGTCAAAGATCAAGAAAATCTCAAAAATGTGGATCTTACTGACCAAGAAAAGGATTTTTTGGCCCCCAGATATAGATGGGTATGAGTCAAACAATAAGGCCTCCACCAACAGTTTCTAGGCATTTTTGGGTATTTAGGTCTTTACTACCATTCTAACTGGGAAAATGATGATTTACCAGAGGATTTGGAGTTGCTCATTCTTGGACAAACCCATATTTCCTGTAGTTGTGTTCTTTGGATTGAGGGTGATGAACACCGCTTTGCAACCCAATAGCAGGAAGAGGTTCACGGTTCAAGGGTTCCGGTTCCGTTCAGGCTTTTCGGGCTGGGCAAGCAAAAGAAGCACCAGACCTAGAGATTACATAAACTTATATATTACACATTATATACATACATGCAAAGAAACATGCAAAAATGATGTATTAAAAGGAAAAAAACATGTTTGCATCCATTTCCGGTCTTTATGATTCTAAACATAACTGGTTGTCGCCAATAGGACTAGTCATTGTATGGCTCAAGTTGGGTATCGGTGTCCCCGTTGGATTGTGAACCAGGTGTGTGCCATAGCTGATTGAAACAGCAGGTGATTCAGTCATTCAAACGGTCAAAGCCCCCATGATTATTACACGGAGGTTTACATTTTCACTAGACTATCCGTAGTAAACCATGATTAAATTTTATATTTAATGATTTTAATGGGCTACACTGTAAACACAATACCAAATCCATTATATAGTGTGAAAACATTTTCCCTGATTGAAAGTTGGTTTGAACCTTCTTGGGTCCAAACTCAGCTACCGCATAGTACGAGTGAATCACCTGTTTGGTTTTTGCCAAGATAAACCCATCGAAGCAAGTTTTTTCTCCATATAACCACATACTCCGGGTTCACCAACATAAGTATGTAAAACTGTAAAACCAATGGTTTCCACTGGAATTGTTCTAAACTTCAGGTGGGTTTTTCATGTTGCTATGTTGGTTTACTGCAGGGTAATTATTGGTTGTTGCATGATTATATATCCATCAAATATCGCCATTTTAGACGGTCAATGGTTAAGATCCCTTGGTTGGATTTGTTTCATTGATTCTAATTGATTGATGATATAATTACATATAATTACCTATTATACCCCGCTATTGTCTCTATACAGTATATATATATATATAACCATCACATATACATACCGTATACGAATAGAATGATATACAGATACATATTGGCATATTCGATTTAAATAGCCATCACAGTATTCCGACAGATTCTACCTGTCCGAGGTTGGCGAGACCCTGCTGGCGTCGGTTCCAGAGAAACCAAGCGTCAAAGATGCTGGGATGATCTCATGACATCCTGGTGCGTTAGTTTAAAATGGTGATTTTTACCCTCTGGCAAACTAACATAGCTATAGAAAATCACCATTTTTAATGGGTAAACCATCTATAAATGAACCATGTTCCATAGCTATGTTAGTTTACCAGAGGAATATGGCTATGGATCAAAATTAAAGACCCAAAATATACCGCAGATTGTAGGATTTTTGTTTAGTATAAACCATCTAGTTTTGGGGGTATGAAAAAATCGACCCACACCCATATGTGACCTGGTTGCTGGGCAAATTTTGGTAAGCCAAAACCGATGATTTTCATATTTATATTTGTCGGGATGATCACATACCATTGGTGAGAATGACAATATGTGGCGGTTCTTGCTAAATGAATTAATTATTCCGGTTTAGAAGAGATCATGGTTGCTGCTGGACAATATATGTAAATGAAGATAATAATAATCAGATAATGTATCAATTTGGTAAATTTGTTAGTTTGTAGTGTGATCATGAGTGTTACTATCGGGATTATTCGAACTGGTTTTGGATTGGTTTTTGTACTTGAGATTAATTAGGATGATGTTTTTTCGGAAAGGTCGGGAATGAATGATCCATTGGAAGCCCATTGGATTGGTATGTTTTTTTCCCCATTGTTTGGTCGGCTAGTAACTGATAGAGGCCTCCCTTCACAACCGGGAATCCTCATTTTCCCACAAGAGCATTGTTGATCATCATGGTAATCTATGGGTGTGTCCAAACATGGAAATTTCGTGAACTTTTAATGGTAGTTAAGGGCAGTGGGTGGTAGCGGGTCAATTTTGCCCGCAACATTGGGATCGAAATTGCCCCATTTCGTAAACCCCTTCTCCTCACTGGAACCCCCTGAAAACGATGCCATGCGGATTGATTCAGCTCAGGATGTGTTGGCAAAGCTTGATGCTTCGTACTTGCAGCTGGCAAAGAAACTGGACTTGTCAGTGGACAAGCTCAAGGCGCAGATGGAAGAAGACGTGGATCCGATGTCGAAACTGAGCTGGTTGGATTTAAGAGGAATCCTCAGTAAATTTAGAGCGACCTCACCACAAGGTCATCATGAAATGATGGGTTTAGGTATGTGGAATCATCCACAACACGTTTTGTTTCGTAATTCTGGGAATGACCTAAAATCCTGTACCTGCTGTTTGGGGGAGGGTCAAACTCCTGCAAGAGGCATCCAAATAACCTTGAGACGGTTTGAAATCAACTCCAAAGTTCTGAGATAGTAACGCCCTTCACATTCAGAATTGAAGAGGTGAAAGGCTCAAAAAATTGCTTTCAGAAGATGCTTGTTCTATCCGATAGTATCCATTTCTTACATCTTCTTGCCATTTGGGCTTTAAAACTTCTGGAAAAGTCTGAGGAAACGACTGGAGGCTTCGCTAGCTGGTCATATCGCAGACGCGGACGAGCACTTGAACCTGGTTGCTGGATCCTATCGCGCCCTCCTTAGCCGAACGGAGATGAAGATGCTCCTCGGAGCGGAAAAAGTGCTCGCGGATGGGTTGAGGGGATATCCGGGGGATACCCGGGGATACCCGTTGGAAGAAAAATTGTCAAGGTGTCACATGCTTTCATCTATTAATATCATTTAATATCTATTAATGCACCTGATCAACCCTTCCAATTGAATCAATACTGTAGATGAAATGTCTCTATCTATTAATGCACCTGTCTCTAGGTGTGTCCGAAAATGGGTATACCAAGTGATTAAAAGAGTTGAAAAATGAATGAGGTTCTGAAACCATGGGAGTTTGGTGATGTTCCCTTAAAATGTTCAGACAGTTTGTTATATCTCATCCAATATCCTCATAAATCTCATAATATCCCCAGTATGCTTAGTTTATACCCCTGTTTTGGATGGTGAAACCAATACAATTAAATGTGATATCAGTTTTGACATCTTCTGCTTGGTTACTTGGCAGCCGGGCAAATCCCAATGGCGATTTGTTCGACACATCTCCATTATAACTAGGTATGTCTTGGCACGTTGACCCCTTTTTCGGGTTTGTTAAGTATTGGAAAACAGCAACAGAAATTGGTTCTCGTTTGGTGTGTCGATTGACAGCTTATTTTTGAGCCATCGTCAGCTTGCAAAAGGAACTCACCTGTGCAGAATTGTTTGAATTGCTGCAATCTGGATTTGTCCGGAAATGGGGGACTTACTCCAGCGGCTACGAAAAAAGCTAAACGAATGTCAAATCAACAAGTTTCCGGGGAACTGCTTTTTGTGGACAAACCTGTATGTACTGTATATATCTGTATAATGTGAAAAACGCATGAAAACGAAATAGTAAACCCCAATACATCTCAATATTACCATAAATGGCTTGTATCAAGGGGTGCCATCTGGCATTGTTCAAGCCGTACCGGGATCTTGTCTTCGGTCGAATGCGAGGTGGTTACCCATTCTGGGCCTAGACGAGCTGGAATCCTACTGCTCCGTAAATGAGTTTGGCGCGTATCTGGAAGCTGTCATGACAAACACACCCAAACAGAGCCTTGGCCCGGTTTTATGAGTTTGATTCATTTCCAACCACCCCTTAAAATCACCATACATATATCAATACTGTGAATTCTGATTAGCCAGATCAGTCGGCAAAACGGCTGATTCGGATCATGAGGGCCCTTTTTTTACATAGCACAATCTGATGGGTGTCTTTTTGAGATGGATGATGGATGATGGAACTGGCAAAATTGCCAAGCGGGATGATGGAACTTGAGCGTCTCCACCCTGGATTCCCTGGATTCTGGACATCTCTGGGACCATTGAAATTATGGCATAGAAATCCACATATCAACTTGATATTGTGTGGGAGCTCAATGGACTGTCATGCTACTAGGTATGTCAATGGATTGGTTGAAGGAACATGTTACGGCAAACCTTGCGTTTAACCCCAAATGGCTTGGGGTTTCCTGTGCTTTCCTGCAGATTTTCCATCCAATTCAGATTAGGTCACTTGGTAGCAACCGGCAATTAGCTCTACCATCGGTGGCACGTTTTCTGCGGGCGAATTCACAGGCAGGACAGAGGGGCATATTGGTGATTCCCATAAATGGGTTGGTCTGGAAATGGGGTAGCCAGAAATCCATTGGTTAATAACAATTTTCCCTATAGAAAATTGCTATTTGAGGGGTATACCCCATTACTCTCCAGACACACCCAAATCACTATTCGAATCTCTATTAATGAGCATTGTTTAACCAATTCGTATTTTGGGTATGCATGTAAACAAATAGAAATATAATGTGCGTAATATAATACTATAATATGTATGGATATATGGTGTATAATCGATATCTATATCGGTGTATATATGTATATTATACATATGACTGTTAGTATGTGATGTAATTTGATGCAATATAATGTAGTGTAATATGTAATGTAATGCAATGTCAGGCAATGTCATGCAATGAAATGCAATGCAATGGAATGGAATGCAATGTATATATACGTATGTATGTATGTATGTATGTATGTATGTATGTATGTATGTATGTATGTATGTATGTATGTATGTATGTATGTATGTATGTATGTATGTATGTATGATGTATGTATGTATGTATGTATGTATGTATGTATGTATGTATGTATGTATGTATGTATGTATGTATGTATGTATGTATGTATGTATGTATGTATGTATGTATGTATGTAGTATGTATGTATGTATGTATGTATGTATGTATGTATGTATGTATGTATGTATGTATGTATGTATGTATGTATGTATGTATGTATGTATGTATGTATGTATGTACATATATATATATATATATGTAATGTCATGTATATATATATACATGTAGTATGTATGTATGTATGTATGTATGTATGTATGTATGTATGTATGTATGTATGTATGTATGTATGTATGTATGTATGTATGTATGTATGTATGTATGTATGTATGTATGTATGTATGTATGTATGTATGTATGTATGATACACCATCGCATCTTATTTATATATATATATATTGTACACACATACATAGACGTATGTATTCAATATATTATGTGCATATACGTTTATGCGCATTTCTCCATGTTTAAACAGTAATTATGTACATGAGACACATATCATAGGATTATAGATGTAAAAATAAAAATAAACAACTATATACCTGCATTTGAGAGCCCGGTAACTTTTACAGGTCCTGCTGCTACGTTTCGCCAACTGCGCTGCGGGGCAAAGTCTTTGCAGCGCAGTGCCTTGTGATGTGCAGGGCGGTTGGAGAATCCCAAGGTCTCAAAGTGGGGAGATAACGGACCAACACAGATTTTTTTTAATCCACAACAATAAAGGGCATTTGACATGATTTAACAACTATTTCTAACCAAGAAAATGAAGATTTATCCAACCAAAATGGTGATGTTTATGTACAAAGACAAGGTTTCAACCAAGAAACATGGGGATAAATTTCCCTTTGGCTTGTTTTTTTTGGGAGGAACAACCTGCCAGCCAAGTTTCAACCAAAATTCGGATTCGTATCAACTTGGACTTCAACTTCCAAAGGGCAGCTAGATGTTCTTCCCGTTGGTGCTTTCAAACCGTAGCCTATAGAGATCTATAGAGTGAACATTGGGGATGTAGGGGAGATGTTTTACCCACTCTAGTAGGTATGTATGTAACATTATTTAATCAGTAATCAGTAACTAATTTATTTTGTTTCTGTACGTGTTTTCACATAGTTTAACGAATAGAGCTAATAGACAAAAGAGTCCATCGGCATGTACGTAAATTGCCCCCATACAGAAGATCTTCAGCACAGATCGGCTCATCCATTGGTCACCTTAGCGTCTTGGCGCCGGGCCCTTTTTTCCCCCGGAAAGGCCATTGATCATTGGTTGACACTTGGGTTACCACCCTTCTATGGAAATGTTCATGGATAGAAACGTGAGTTTCACCCGTGGATTGAGTTTTTCATGGAATGATGAACCATTAGTCATCATTAGTCCATTAGTCTCTCAAGGAGCTGATCTTTGGGTTTTTTTCTGTTCCAAGCCATTCCAAGCCTGGTTTTTCCATCAGCCCACAGCATTAATCGTGAAGCACTGAGGACTATATCTTCAAGTACGCATCCAAAATGAGAAAGAAATTGCTGGACTACAGGAGCCTCGTGGAGGGCATGTGCTTGTACGACATCAGTGGTAAACGGTGGCATGGCGATGTTGGCTGGCAGTCGTGTTGAACGGTAACCCCACAAGACACTCTATGACAAATCAATATACTATGTGTGCTTTACCGTAAAGATATTATTAAAATATTCCATTATTATCATATTGTTGATGATATTCCCTATTAATATTTATACCGTTAAAAACAAAGTTAGAATGCGGTTTTGGCTTCGCGTGATGGTGGCCCGTTTGGCCCCCCCCTACGGCAGACGCATTCTAACTGAAGGAACACCTGTAAATCCGCCCACACCGCTTTGGCGGTGAAGGCGTGCTTATTGGGGGGAAACAGCTACACTAAATGCTCAATCACATTTGTTAATATAGCAGTCGCTATATCAGCTTTAGCTGGGGGGGGGCAAAAACGGTTTCGCACCGAGACCAGAATTAGGTGGTGTTTCCGACATTTTTCGAGGATTTTTGGGTGTCTGAGCGCAAGAGGGTATTGAAATGGAATTTTGGGTCATTTTGGTAGCTTTCCGGCAATGGAAAAACGGCCAAAAATGAAAAAAAACATTGTACATAGCAAAATTTTGCAGGGTTTTTGGATGCCAGAGCATTGAAAACACTGCAAAAACAAGTGTTTTGGACTGACGTTATAGCAAAAAACGTGTAAATTACCGTCTGTTTGACTGGAAACATTGGAAAAACACTGTCAAAAACAATGTTTTGGAAGGATTTCTTATATATATATATATATATGTTGGAGTTGGCTACCGGCATTGGAACATGGAAAAATTGAAGAAAACACTGTAAATAGCGTGTATTTTCAACGGTTGGGGAGATAAGGGAATTGGAAGCATTGTCGAACATGATGTTTTCGACCGGTTTTATGGCGACAAAAGTGTAAAGTACCGTGCTTTGAAGGAAACCATTGCAAAAACATGGAAACACATTCAAAGAACACGGGATTTGGGGGACTATCTAGGCGTCGTTGTGTAGCCATTTGAAATTCCGCAGTTTGGGGAGCCTCCAAGGGAGGGAAAAGTGAAAATTCCATAGCTTGGGAAGCTGTCACGGCGGGGAAAAGTGAAAATTCCCTAGCCCCCACGGGGGGGAAAAGCGAAAATTCCCTAGCTTGGGAAGCCTCCACGGGGGGGAAAAGTGAAAGAAGCACCCACTGGAAGAATCCCGGGGGGGGGGGAAATCGTGGCCCTGGACGGCCCGGGCTGCGGATGGCTGCGAAGCTGTTTGAAATAGAGATGCAAAGAACTCCAATGATACATCTTTCAAAAATGTGCATACGGACAGGTTTTGTCTCTTGCGCTAAGTTTTTTTGTTGCACCGACGGTTCTACATAGGTTCAACAGCTGTGAATGTCTGATCCAGGTTATGTTTTCAGTGAACTGTGACTTGTCGCAGTCGTTTTGCGCGGACTTCGCACAGTCTGGTCTTATTGGCAAATGTTGCGCCGGCTGCTGTCTGGCACTTCTCCAAGTGATCCAAGTTCTGTGGGCCACCAAGAACCTCCCTTTGGAGTTCTCCAGGTCACAACTCATCTGCCGGGTAGACCTCGGAAGATTCATTGAGAACCGGATCTTCAATAGCTCAAAACATGGATTTTGATGGGTGGGAATTCTGCCGCATTTGAGATACGAAGATGTAAGAAAATGCATTGATGTTCGAGAACAAATGTCGACAAATTCAAGTGGTACATGCATGTGAATGTAATGTATATGTATGTTGACCGGTATGGGAAGATCGCATCCCTTCCTTGGATGAGATCTTCCCGTCCCCCAAGATGTGTTTAGGTTTAGGGCGGTAGCCTTTTCAATGTATCAAAACAACGGGTGTTAAAGATACCATAGGATCATTTGTTTGTGAACTCAGCCTCACTGGCGAAACAGATGATGAGAGTTCTGCACAAGCTTCCATGTCTTCATGTCAGAAAGCCTCAGCATGACCACAATCACGACCGAGAATCGCAGATGGCAGCGGCAGGAACGCTATGTCTGCACTTGTTCCCTACAACTCAAGACAGCAAGACATGTCACTTCTTGCTTTCCGTCAAAGCCTCTTGGTTTGCTCCCCTTGTTCTACTCTTTTGCGTTGGATGCTGCTGACATGTCCAATTCATGCGGCAAAAAACATATTTTCAGTCCACTTAAAAAATATTCACGAACCCAGCAGTTATGTATGTCAATTCTCCTGTGCTGCTCTGCTCCTCATATTCCACACCACCCTTAGCCCCTCTCACGGACCGAAATAAACCTGCGGTGTGGGCGGCCACCCCACGCGAAGCGGGGTGAATATGCAGAAACACAGTTAGAATGCGGCGCCAAAATTGGTAAGAAAATGTAAGTTTTGACTGGTATTTTACAGTAGCTTAAAAGTTCCAGGGTCGGTCCATTCCCGTTATGGGATGCCTTCATCCGTGATGCACCAGTCTCAGACCCAACAGGCACCGCCGCTGGGAGTATACCTGTTTAATAGTTCAATTCAAAAAACATGATCTTTTAAGCAGGTCGTTGGGGCGTTGTTCGTGTTTGTTCTCTTTTTTAAAAGAGGAGGTGCTCCAGTCAAGGACGTTCGTAAGATCTTAGTAAAAGGTGACTGGGAGAATGTTCTTCCAGTGGAGAATAATTATCCCTTTTGTCTAGGCTTGTTCAATGGTTATTTGTTGTAACAAAAATATACAAAACATCTGATCTTGAATCTCCATTGCAAAGCCCGGCCAAGGTTAAGTGAACTCCCCAAGGGCTGCTTCAACCATCCACTGCTGCACCATCCAGACGAGTATGACTCACTGACAGGCAGCCGGTGGGTATGGGGGGTATCTTGGAATCTCGCCAGAGTTTGTAGCCCAACAGCGTTGACAAATGGTGGTTTTGAGATGATTTGAGCTAAATTCTTGGGATTTGGGGATTTTGTTCTTGTAAGATCTTGTAAGTGCATTTTACTAGTTTACTTTGTGTTTCCTTTTATCAAGTAGTCGAATAATATAACATATAATTACATTTAATTATTATATCTAGATATATATGTATATCATAAGTAGCTGATCCCTCATCGAGAAGGTTTCATTTAGTTCCAATCAGAGGCTCACAGAGTCGCCACGCCGTACTTTTCTTTGCCCTGCCAAGTTACTGCTGGACGGCGTGAAAACAAATGATTTAACAAAATGGCTACTTGGTGGCTCATCCCACTTAGTAAGTGGGTTATAACCCCAGTTATAAATGGGATAAGTAGAGTTAATCCAGTTATAACTGGGGTTATAACCCACTTACTAAGTGGGATGAACCACCAAGTAGTGTATGGTCAATGTATGGTCAATGTATGGGAAAAATATCTGATATTTCTGGTTGATCTGGAATATCTATGATATTAACCAGATATTAACCAGATGGTCAATGGCTATCTCAGATTATGGTCAATGTATATTTATGGTTGATCTCCAGATATTGTGGTTCAGAGGAAATTGCCGAAGAAACATATCGTTTGGATTTGAGGATGCGGTTTTTCAATCCACGGCATGGCAGCCTGGTCACAATAGATATCGCGTCGACTGTATCTCCAGAGACGGACTCAATAGCCTGGAGGCCTGGTGAACATCAAGTTATGGCTATAGCTGGTAACAGCTGGTATTTCTTGATGATCCTCCGAAATTTACCGTGTTTTTTTTGTTTTGACCTACTGGTACTACTGCCTGATGGAATTTTATGATTTTTTTGGGTACCTGAATATTTTGGTAGAGTCATCCCCAAAGTCAAAAAATCATCACTAAATTTTCTTATGTTTCATCATGGTTAAACAGTGTTTACCCATGTTTACTCCTTGTTTTGTTGGAACTTTTGCAAAGCCAACCGGAATCATATGCTTATGGCTGTTTATTCACCTGAGTCATATGGCAATAATAGGTGTTGCTCCATCCCCATATCTATTTGTTGGTTGTTGTTGATGCCCACGTTTCCCACCAGCAGACTTGTTCAGGTGATCTGGGAGAGCTTCCAGATGGAGTGACACAGCTACACTTTGCCACGACGCCTGTCTGCTGGATCAGCTATGAAATAGCCATGAAATAGCCAACCATCGGGAGGATTTGACAATGAAAAGTTGGCATTCACCAGCAAAAATGGAGCTTCGATGAGATTTACCTAGCAACTCCATGGGAGGAAGCAATCATCAACCAACAAAAGTGGGGAGAGTACCAACAAAAATATGGATACGGCCGTGGTGTTTGCTTACTAGATTTACATAGATTTACTAGTCCACCGGCATCCATTGGACAAAATAGACTCGAGTGACAACACACTGTTCAGTGGTTTATATCCCATATGTTGTCGTGTATTTGGCCATCCAAAATTTCGGACCATCCGGACCCAGCCCGCACATGGACTGGCAATGGTATGGATCATCCAATACGTGAAATTTGAAGGGCTAATGTTTTCCGAATGGAGGTAGATTAATGTGGAATCCACAATGATCTATCTGGAATCGACATGAATCAACCATTTGGGGGTAGGAGTTTGTGAAGACGGTGTACACAAGAATTTTACCACACACTGGGGATGTGTTTTTGCGGACCCACCCTCAACCGGAATTCATGGCATCATGACTCAAGATGTATGTTTGTCTGAAAATATGGTACTCAAAAATCATCAAAAATCCGATGGTTTATCAGCATGTTTCCCCATTAAAAGGAGCATTTGGGGAGTATACGATATGTGAATTTTACCCAACAAGCGCAAATAATGTTTGCTTTGGATGTATTGTGAGCCTGGCAAGTGTCGATCAGTTCACTAGGGCATCGGCTTCACTACTTTGCTGATGGGGTCACACCCCTTGTCACTGAACTTGAGTTTGGGACAGCTTCTGCGTTCAAGTCTTATTTTATCCTAACACATCGATTACCAATCTCCAGAAACTCATATGTTTCAGTTTTTCGGGGGGGGGTAGCTCGATGTTCAAACCACCAGAACCAGCTGAAGCGCTCGTGTTTTCCCTAAGGAACGACAAAATCACCGGAGATCTAAGGGCACTGGCTCGTTTCCCGTGTCTTCTACTGGAGGGCGAGAGGGTTTGTAGGGCTTGTGGGTGAAGGGTGCGCATACCAGACGTGGCAATACAGGCCTTTTTTGGGGCCAGAAATGGGAAAATAGATGAAAATAGACTCACTAGTAGGCCAATGGCAGGTGAGTCTATTTCCCATCACTTTTGAATTTCTGGCCAACATGTCTGCGATATTTCAATTCACAAAAAATAAACAAAGCATCTGATCAGCCAGACTACTACGCAAACAGATTGGATAAGATTTGTTGTGATCCAGATGTCCTAGATCATATCACACTTAGATGACGACACAATTACATTGACATGGGATACGGTATGGGTGAAAATTTACAGACCTGCAACCCACATTTGTTGGCCATGTGATGTCGGTATGAAACAAAGATTGGGTACCAAACAAACCACGGACCATTTTAATGTCAATGTTTTCTCATCAATACACAAATATGAGAATCACATTTTTTGGAATGACAGACCCCCAACTCGCTGTCAGTGTTGAACCCAGGACACAAAACACGCATGTGGAGGTCCCCTGCACCTGTGCTGAGGGGCATGACGCGGTTAGACTTCTTTGCCAATACGAAGATCAGTGGAGACATCAAGTGGCTCAAGGGCATGACGCAACATGGCGGCAGCCAAACCACGGATCATGTACCGTCCGGCAATCAAACGTGACGATGGAAATCTTGCCATTTATAGATGACTTTCATATTTAAACCTTCTTTATAGGGTATTCCCCATCAACACCTTTGATTACCAGAGGGTACATATGGTTTTTTCTTGGCGGGTGGCTTGGTTTGGTGAAGCATTTTGATGCCGGATGGTCATAGATCACTGGGATAACCACCATGGCCCTGGATGTTATGTGTTCTGATCTACATGACTATCTCTCCAAACATTTATGGACCTGCGTGTCGACCTCTCCACAACTCCCCAAAATTGGGACACTTAGTTCAATTCATTTCCGATGCACTTGGAACCAAAGTCCTAACCACCCCTTACCAGGGGATATGTTCCATCCAAGCCCTACTTCATTTCCATGCCGTATAGACCCAGCCGATGTTTTCTCACCTCACATCGGCCACCCAGTGACGTCCCGCACATGACACCGAGGCAGTTGACCTTCCTGAGATTCCACGCGAAACTTGGGAATAATTGGTGCTGGAAGGTGCTGGAAGGGGCTGGAAGGGGCTGGAAGGGGCTGGAAGGGGCTGGAAGGGGCTGGAAGGTGCTGGAAGGTGCTGGAAGGTGCTGGAAGGTGCTGGAAGGTGCTGGAAGGTGCTGGAAGGTGCTGGAAGGTGCTGGAAGGTGCTGGAAGATGGAGATAATTATTTATCAAAGTCCGCTTCCTTTAGCGTATGAGCTTTGTTTGTGATGTTTGTGATTTTCATATCATAGTGTATCACGTTTCTAGACCTGTTCATCTTCATTCATGTTCACCTTTTTTGGGTTTATATATTATATATGTGTGTGTGTGTTTTGATTCATTAATTCGTTCACAACCTGTTCTCCTGGGCCTCATTGATCAACCAGAGGTTATTGATCAATCGGGTGGATGCCAGGCGTCCAAAAGCTTGGGGATTGGAGCAGCAAAAGATAGCAAAAGCGGGGGCCGGGCCCACTACTGCCTGCTATTTACCCTAAATGTTGATGTATAATGATGTATATGTATATAATTGTATATATATATATATGTATGATGTTAAATGATATTTACCCACCCGAATTGATTGGATTAGGCCCTATTTATCACAGTTACATACAGTTACTCTTTTGCCCACTTGGACATGGCATCACACCTCCATGGCTATGGCTGCTATGGTTACAGCCAGCTTCTAAACTGACCATGACAAGGAAGTCTCGATGATCACGCCAAGTAACAAATCCTGTATATATATATATATACTTATATGGTTTATCACTTTGTCAAACATAGTTGGAAGGAACCTAGTAGTTGGCCACTATATGCCATCGTCATTTTTGCGTCCAGATAACGCATAGGGGGACTCACTTGGACTGATCCAGTGATCCAAGAGGAGTTGTTAATGTCGAAGCCCAAAAGCCTGTGGTTGACATTACCTTCTGTGTTGAAAATTGATGATCAATTCCCGTTATATCACCAATGAATCACCATGAATATCCCCACAAAAAGGACCGTGTTCGGCCTACTTTGAGAGAAACCCGAGGGACAAATGTTTGGATTCAGTTGGGCAATGTTACGTTTTTTGGTTACTATATGTTGGTATATGTGAATACAAAAGATGTAAACACTATATAAAATGACCTGTTCATCCAGAAGATTGTCAGTTGTGACTACATTGTCATGATCACAACAATGGGGGGACTGAGTCAACCACCATCCACCGACCATGCTCCAACCCAGGGAGGCACCGTTGCCAGAGAACCAGCAGGTTGATCGTATGGTGTTTCAGGGTTGCTCCAACTGATTATAGATAAATGATAGCCACCTTTCGGGTGGTAAATGTGTCATGCTACCTCTATATTATCCTATTTTCCCAATTTTACCACCCAAACGTACATGGGGTGTTTGGAACAACCCTGTGTTTGGAAACGCACAAAGAAAACCAAAGAAAGGAACTTGTGAATCTCCGTTCTTACTGTGAGACAATTCTCCGTTCGCTAACCAATGATGTATCATTGACTACCTTGATCTCGGGCTTCAAATCATTGTTTTTTTGTTTTCCAGAAATGGGGTCCCCCGCAGTGCCAGTGGATTAATCATCCCAATTTTGGGACACAGACATATTCTTCAAAAATCCCCTGGTGTTAATCCCCTGATTTATGGGGAGATTATCAGATTAGCATGAAATTCAATTCACAGCAATTTTGGTCATGTTTTTTACACTCTCAAATCAACCCAGGACCCAGATGGGTCACCATCACTGGGGAAGACGGCCCCCCAGCTGGTGTCCCGGCTTCGGCTTCGAGGAAGCGATGGATGACGGGTGACATCAACTCTTTGCAGAATCTGACGTAACTTGTCTGTCGCAGCTGCAATTTGGGTCAAGCTGGTGAGGATGGGGATTTTAACAGGAATGTGAAGGGACATATATATATATAATTATACATATACATATATATATAGGGATTTCAATTTCAATCTATTTCAGTAGGAATAGTTAATAAGGATATGTATATTATATATATATGGAAGATATGTATCCAACTCAATACTGTATGATATTTAGGTGTGTCTGAACATGGGATACCCATCAGTTACAGCAGTATTTTTTGAATAGGAAAATCATGGTTAACCAATGGATTCAGGGTAGCCTATTTCAGCCAAACCCGTTTCAACAACTTGGCCTAGCTACAAGCTGAAGTGTTTTGGGGAGTTTGTATACCATCCTGTTTCAAGCAACAAAGATCAAAAAATTACATATTCACCAGAATGGTGGTTGTGGAAGACCTAGTACCAAGATGTACCAAGAGTATCCTTCTGGATACTTTAGAGCAATGAAAATAGCCAACCAAGTACCAGACAAATCAGCTCTGGAGTGGTTGTAAATTATCCACCTACTAGAGTGGAACTACGGGTTCAGCCGGTTCAGCCCAATTTTTGGCATACTTATGCAGAATTTGAGAATTGATGTGTGTGAAAGGTTGGTTGATGCTGGTGTGGTTTTTGATCTACATTGCTGTGGTAGCCGACTCGTTCAACCTAGAGGTTGATGCGAGATAGACTGGTCAATGATACTGGGACTGAGCCAATGTTGCTTTATCTAAGGTCATTGGTTGTTTCGTTCTAGACACATCTGTGCTGCAAGAATTGGTGTTTGAGGGATTTGTTTGGAAGACAAACCGTCCCCTGCAACTAGATCGTAAAACCATGCCAAAACCGCTGAGGTACCACTTTGGGTGCAGTTCCAGTCAAGAAGGCGATTTAGAACCACATTTACACGGAATATTTACCTTTTGGCAATTGAAAATGGATGAACATGGTCCATTTATAGATGATTTACCTATTGAAACTGGTGATGTTCGATACCATAGGGTACATGTATCGACATAATATATACATATATCATCATATATCATAGGTGCTTATCATCATGGCTAATAAACAGTAACAACTCATAGAAAGCATTTAATGGCCACGAATATCCCACTAATCATGAATAATTACCCGGTTACTACAAATTTATCCTTCGGTACTTTCATATGGCTATTGAAAATGGCCAATTTACTTCGCTGTTTTGTTCCATAGTAGACACCCAAACCATCCCAAACCCCATAAGATGATTGCCCTGGATACAAATGGCCGACTTTTCTGGATACAAATCACGGTGAATGTTTGGAAAGCAATGTCATAAACCACATTAAACCACACAAATTTTGATGGTTTATATCACCCTTTTTTATGGTATATATATATATAGGGATGGTCGATTCCGTTAGCTAACATTATACAATCTTATAATGTCAACCCCGGATGAATTTACCCCAAACGGCTGTTTAATTGGGGGGTACCATTTCAGTAGCCATTTATTACATTTCATTACTATTTGGGGGAACCACAATTCAATTAATCAACCAGGGTTTACACAATTAATTAGATGTGTAATGTGTAATGTGTAATGTCAACCACCACAATTAATCAACCATTTTATTTGGGTTGACATTACACATCTTTATCCCTCCAGAGGAATCTGACTTACCTTGACTTCCACTCTGCCGAGCTGATCACTGGAGAACTTTGGGCCCTTCGAAACCTGAAGTGCCGCGGCACGCGTTGCACACCTGGCGGTAGAGTAATTTGTATGGTCAAAAATTGGGAAAATAGGGGAAATGTATTTAAAATCAGGAATATGAACAAAAATTAACAGAAATGGAAAATCTGTGAAAATATCACTTATTGACAGCTTGGTGCCGAATGTAGTGAGGAATCCAAAAATCAGTTCATATTGATGGATATCAATCTGGAGTTGTATGAATTATTATAGATACACGTAGATACACGGGCAATCCAACTGAATAATTTCTGAATGATGTCTATCATTGTGTATCCATCGATGTCAGAAACTTATACTCACCGAACGGGATTTGTAGTTCTATTTTTTATTGACGGATTGATATTTGATAGATGAATAGTTACAAAGGGGTTATCAGCAGCCATGTGTTGTGAATCCAGTCACCCGACCAATCAAACAATCCACAGCGACTTACTTATCAGCACTTTGTGATTTTTAAGTCCTCCTCGGTTGCGAATTTACTATGCTGTTCCTAGATTCTAGATCGTATTGTTGTTCCTAGATTCTAGTTCCCCATATTTGACCGGCTCAACCCCACATGTGTCAGTTGTTTTTTTAATTTGTTTTTGGTCTCAAAATGTTGTTTCCTGGAATTTCAACCTGGCCATAGAAACTATTGAAAATCCGCACATCCCCTTGTTGGGTCGGGAAGTAAAACGAAATATGTATCTGTGAACCTCCTTTTTGCTTGGGCTGTATGGTAATGTATAGACGCATATTCATGCAATGACTGTTTTGCATAATTATCCATATATGTATATGCGGTGCCCTTGCCTCATGCAGAATATGTACGTATACATATTGTAATTTATACATACTGTATATTTGTGTACATATATACATACATAATAACATACATTGATATACATACGTGTGTATATATATACACAGATGTATGTATATATATATGATTTACCTACACGTACAAGAATACATAAATATACCCATATTATAAGCATACAGTATAGAACATATTTGCACTGGATAGATATAGTACAGACACACATCTACAGTGTCATATATATATGTATATACATATATATATATATGTACATATGCACATATATCTAATATTCACGCATTCTGTGATTGTTTAAAACCTGACCCCGCTTTTAACCAACGGTTGATTGATAGTTTGGGTTGATGGTACCGGGCCCCACAACACCAAGCCACCAGTCATCCATTGAGTATACCTCCTGAATGGTAACCTGAAAAAGAGGAAAAAAGGATGAGTTTCACCAGTGGATTTAGGGTTTCCCCCAGTTTTCCCTTTTTTTTCACAACATCTTCAGACAAAATAGACAAAGCCATTTGAGGAGTGTTCAAAACCCCGTTGGTTGATTATAGGGGTTACCTAACATATTGGGGATGATCCTAATCCATGAACTGGGAAATCCGTTCTTGACATTTCTTAACCAGCCAGTATAAAGGGACAGAAAATATAATCTACATGACGTACCGACTGCAAGGAAGCCGAAAATCAGAAACCTTATCCCCCAAATCACCATAAATAGATGGTATAAACCATTCCCAGTCATGGCTGGTTTATGACATTGTTTTACCCACATTATAGTGATATAGTGTTTATTCCCCATAAACCATACCAAGTGGAGGGTTTTAAACACTGTTTTGGCAGATCTGTTTTCCCAGGCAGCTGAAGTTCCTGAGCTTCTCGAGGAATGCGAAGATTTTCGGCGACCTCAACTGGCTTTCCGGCCTGCAGCGACTTGGGATGTGGGCTGTGGATGGCTGTGGAGGCAGGGGAAAATTGTGGATTTACCCTATGGTAAATAAACATAGACCCTGAAAATGACAATTTTTTAGTGGAAACTAATCTTCCAACCCCTATCTGCCAGGGTCTATGTTAATTTACCGGAGGGTAATTGGGTTAATGAAAATGTGACCAGCAAAAGTAAGGATTTTACCAACAAGACTAAGGATTCAAGTCTGGTTTGGTTTTCAATATTCTCATTTATGGCGATTGAAAAGCGTGAAAATATGATTAAACCAACTCAGCATATGGGACCCTCCTGTTTTTAATGATCAAGACATGGAAATCGATACTTTGACCAGGGATCAATCCCATCATTGCTAGCGGCTAAGTGCCGCCGTGACTGGCTCCCATCCAAGTGACTGGCCGGGCCCAGGATCCAATGGCTAAAAGCTTTGTTTTCCTCAATAATATTGGAAGTAATGTGCAAAATACCACAGTTTTGGAC